ATATATACCGTTTAGTGTTTAATCAATATAGAATACAACACGGGGTATTCCGTTTCGCCCGAGGTATCAGTCCGACAGGAGGCCCGGGACCGAGGGTGATGCGGAATACACCGTGTTGTATTTTATTTAACTCATACCCACCCAAGAACACGCGCCTTTCAAGGCTAATTGAGCCCAAGTTTGGTGTCCCTAAACTAAAAAATTAAACATCATCAATCCCAACGTCCGAAATAAAGTACGGCCCGGTCCGGAACCCGTTATCGAACATTATCGCGACCCTGCAGCTGGTATGATATAAATGAGAATATGTGAAAACCGTTGCTATACGTACCACGCACGTGTTCTATGAATGTTGTGTGTTGTGAGTTCTTATGTTACCATCGCAGTCATAGGCTCCAAATATCTTTATCATAACCATATGCATTACAGTTACGTTTCCCCCCAAGAATATTAATAGAAAAGTTGTTTACACTTAGTCTAATATCCTCTTTGTGTTGTGAACAATTGTTTTATATTATCTAAAGAAATCGCACATACGTACCTGGTAGTTGTGACCGTGAATGAAAAGCTTTTGTTATGAAAACAGTGTAAAAAAGCGTATGCAAACCCCAGCTTGGAATGATTGACAACTTAATCTAGCGCTTCTGCGATAAATCTTGAAAGACTGCAATTTCCCCGATGTGCGCCGCGAACCATACAGTACGTTCGGAACAGAAGGAAATGCGAAGGCAAAATCATGAGTCGCTTTTTTTTCGCAACGACAGAGCGTTCGGCTCGGAACCAAGGCGTTACCAAGAGGTTCCGAGTTCGAATCCTGCCATGCATCCGATCTTATGTCCTTTGGAGAGCCCTTTCCTCATTTTACTCAGGTAAAATTGACTGTTGTCCGTGCATTTGTCTGCGTTGGTACGGCATAAAAATACGACGGTGCTGAGTTGACGTTTTGACGATATCAATGCATGATTTCTGATGATGAAAAATGAATCTACCACGACATTTTTTACTTACAAGCAGACGAAACACGCTAAAAAGAGACTTAATATTTGAACAGGCACCTGCCTAAGATTATGACGTCAAATGTGCTGATCAGTGCATAAGATGGTCAGGAAAAGGGGGTTATAGGGAGCATGTATAAACCGCTACCTTAGACTACGTCGCACAGTTAAACACGTGTCTGTTACACCGTGTACGTGTGTGTCACAATGCCGAAGGGCAAGGGAAAACAGCCGGCATGGCTCTCTGGAAAGTCCACTGTGAGAAATGTAGTGGAAAAAGACGTCAGAGGGTGATGAAAAAGTACCGGCCAACAGCGATGGAAGTTCGAGTGAGATCTATAAGTAAGACAGATGCTGGGAGGGGGGCATCTGATCATTAGAAAAAAAGCTTGTCATCACTGAACAGCAAGATGAAGAAATTGCGGCCTACACGTTGTAGACGTCGTGAAACATCTGCAGTTCCATTCACAGGAAGGACGACATATTGATGATATTTTGCGACATAGCTCTATCATCAGTGACTAGTACTGTCCGTACACGGGTCTGCGCATCAACCAGGAGCGAACCCACCATCGTCTTTTGCGACCGCGGCGCCAGTTCTTCCTGCCTCTCTTCTTCAGCTACCAATGCCAGAAGACCTAGGTTGTAACGGTGACGCGCTACTGCCAACCTCAATCTCAGACTGGTTTGCAGGTTGTCTGCAGGTTGCACTAAACGCTGCATCGCTAACTTTAGTGTACTCTTCACGTGACGTGTCGTACATTACAAAACAAGTGAACGGTGACAGGCAGTGCAGCGCTTATATATATATATATACCGGCTCAAACAGGACAGGAGCCCGTCGGGATCCCGCCAGGGACGCGCCAGGATCCCCCCTGGACCCAGCCAGGGTTCCGACAGCTGCTCGGCCGAGCTGTAAGAGCCGGTCGGCAACCTACCGCACGGGTCAAGACGGGAGACTGACCACGCATCGGACGGGTCCCTGACAGAACCAAGGAGACCAAAAGAATATTATGAATATTAACGCCGCCTCAACGCCGGCCGGAGCACAACCAGACCCCGACATGGAGCCGTAAAGGAACATTTAATTGTGATCCTGACAGCCATGCTAGGCTTTATGACGCCGGCCCGGGTCTAAACCGAGAGCATGCCGAGCAGGCCCCGTTTGAAATGTGACACCAACTGATAAGCTAAAGGAGCCAGGTGATGCTAAAAACATACAGTTAAGCAGACATTAGTCGATCAGCGTTCCGTTGTAAGCTGTGAATATTTCCATTATCACCATATTCCCCCTAGGAAATCAACAGAAAAGTTGTTTGCACTAATATTCTCCTCGTGTTGGGGATCTTATCTAAAGCCATCGCACATACGCGCCTGGTAGTCGTGACCGTGAATGAAAAGCTGTTGTTCTTAAAACAAGTGTAAGAATGAGTAAACGTTGTTCAAACAACCCCCAGCTTGACATTATTGGTAACTTAATCCAAGAATGTTCCACAAGAGAGACCTGAGATAAAGGGAGAAAGTTTAAAGGACTAATGGGACACCAAGGAGGACTACAAAGTAATTATTAATAAAGATAGAACGTCCTTGCTTAATCGAACACTTTCTCGATGAATCTTGACACTGCAAAACGCTCTACTGTGCGCAGCAAATCATACCGCGGCAGTACTTTCGTGAATGTAACAGAAGGAAATGCGTAGGTAAAAGAATGAGACGTTTGGCGCAACGACTAAGCGTTCGGCTTAGTTCGAATCCTGCCATGCGACCGATCTTGTGTACTTTGGAAATACACTTTTCCTCATTTAACTCACTGACAGGTAAAAATTGACTGTTGTCCGTGCATTTGTCTGCGTTGGTACGGCATAAAAATAAGTTGAAAAATTTGAGTGTGCCGTCACCATGTCTTGTGTTAAAAATCAGTCTACGACGGCGATGAGTTGACATTTTGACGATATCAATGCGCATGATTTCTGATGATGATGAAAAAGGAAACGACCACGAAATTTCTTTACTTAAAATCAGACGAAACACGCAAAAAAACAGACTTAATTGAATTAGCATATTTAAACATTAGCAGGTCTTCAGCTGTTTTAGCAACGGCTAAACAAGTGGAGCTGTCCAGTCTCGAGAGGTTTTGAAAGGCATCAGTGGCGATGTTTTCGATACTTGAAAATGTCGAAACACGAAAAAATACACTTTGTTTTGCATATTTGAACATCAACGTATTTTCAGCTGTTAAAGCAATGGCTGAAATAAGTGGGACTGTTTAGTCTCCAGTGGTGTTAAAGAGAATAAGGATGTTTCGTTACTTGACAACGGACGAAACACGTGAAAAACTACTCCTTCTCCATCAATTTTTTTGTCATATTTGAACATCAACATGATGTAATTACCGCTGTTTCAACAATGGCTGAACAAGTGTGGCCCAGTCTTCTCGAGATGGTATGATAGGAACGAATGGCGATGTTTGCGTTACTTAAAATGGTCGAAACACGTAAAAACCTACTTAATTAAATTGTTATGGCATATTTGAACATCAACGTGTTTACAGCTGTTTCAACAATGGCTGAACAAGTGTGGCTCGGTCTTCTCGAGAGGGTTTAACCCTCAACAGTACACCTTCCCGGACTGATTAATCTGTACACCTGGGGTCCGCGCGGACCCCAGAGCAGTTTTTTGCTAATTTTTAGAAATTATCAACATGCTACCAGCTCAATTGTTTTGCAAACTGATGTGGGAACCTCTGTGTCCACATTGCAAACAAATATCATACATTTTGAACTTTTTCTATTTTTTGGTGAAGAAAAGAGAGAAAGAAGAAATACCCGATTTTTAAACCCATTTCAGACTGAAGGGGCTTTTGAGGCCCAACTTTGATCTCAGATAGCGGCTAAACGGCTTGCGCTAGAAGTATCAAATTTGGAGACCTTTCCTAAAATGTCTCTGGAAAAAAGTTCATATTAGTTTGATACTAGTTAGTAGATGTTTTTTTGTGTTGCCATGGCAACGGAATTCTATTTTTCAAAATAGAAGTAATTTTGGTTTAAACATAAAAATTTTCTGAGTTTTATATTAAATTACACTTCTTTTCCAACATTAATAACATCTTACATAATTAAATATAGGTTAAATCATTTAATATGCATAGAATATGCTCATTTGATGACGTCATTGGTCAAAAATCCAATATGGCGGACTATATTATTAGCTCTGACGTCATATGACGTCATAATTACACCAAAGTTATTAAAATTTAATTCTATTACTACACCATTCTCTGAAAACTTGGTAGACATAAGATGAGTGCATAAAAACATATAAAAACGGAAATAAGGTAATGTATAAGAACGCCAATGTATCCATTATGATCGAAAGCCGGCTGGGGTCCGCGCGGACCCCAAAAGAAAATCAGATATAATTTTTTTTATAAATGGTAGAAACCGAGTTTTCTGCACTGTATTGAGAGACAACTTTGTGGGTGACAATTACCTAAAATTTCAGAAAAAAATCTTTAGAAACAAAAAAGATACTACAGAATATATAGTGCTGGGGTCCGCGCGGACCCCAGGTGTACTGTTTAGGGTTAAAAGTTCATATCACCCGAAACTACTAGCGAAATACTAATACACTATTCCAAACTCACTCATTTGAAAAAAAATAGCATACTTTGGTATTGAGTGAAAAAGATGAAATAGGACGACAGAAAGATTTTGTCTATTCCAACAATTATTACAAGACATGACGACGGTATACTCAAGTTTTTAACTTATATTTATGCAACCACCAACGTAGAAAAACGCATGAACGGACAACAAACATATTCATTTTCAAGTTAGGAAATTTGTGTAAAGTGCATTTCCCAATGGCACAAGATCAGTGGCATGGCAGGCTTCAAACTCGATGCCGGACGCTCTGCCAATACACCGCACGATCCCACATACGATACTGTTCCCACAGGCCTGAAGGCGCGCGATGTGTACACTTCAGATGTCCTGACAGGCCATGTACATGAGAACAGGAGACACAAACCTTAGTTTGTTCCCACAGGCCTGAAGGCGCGGTGTTTACACGTCCTTACAGGCCATGTACACTGTAGAGAACAGGAGACACAAACCTTAGTTTGTGCCCACAGGCCTGAAGGCGCGGTGTGTACACGTCCTGACAGGCCATGTACACTGTAGAGAACAGGAGACACAAACCTTAGTTTGTTCCCACAGGCCTGAAGGCGCGGTGTGTACACGTCCTGACAGGCCATGTACACTGTAGAGAACAGGAGACACAAACCTTAGTTTGTTCCCACAGGCCTGAAGGCGCGGTGTGTACACGTCTGGGGTCCAGAAATGACACGATTATTGTGGAGAACAGAAGGAGACGGGAACCGTCATCCGGGATCTGGGACTACCTCAGGATGTGGGACGTCTTCGGGGTTAAAAAGGCTAGGTGTGTGTTGTCTTGTGTATTTTACATACTATATTAGTATTATGATCACAAGTATATTATAATCACATACAGAGTCATGCAACCGTATTGAAACCTTATATACCCATATTCATCTCTATATACAAATTTGTAATGTTGTTAATTCTATTTTGGGGTAGTAGGATAGTCAAATTTATTGATATACCACTAATTACGCTCTAATGACTAGCATATTCAACTTAAATCATCGCCTTGATGGTCATTTATCGCGAAATTACCACAATAGTAGCCTACACTACAGTCACTACATTTAAAGATTATACTTAGTCTACCCAATAATTATCTGCTTTTATTTCTTGTTGTATACTGTATGTAAAAGTGTTTTCTATGGAGCATGTTAGAATCAACCTACAGCCAATGACTTCTGTTGATGATTCTTTGCTTTATATTTCGTACAATCTGGTCTGTCATGTTTAGAAACCCCAGGAGTTTGGTGACTGTCCACATTACAGTGTACTTCACTGACTACGAGTGCTGCGTCGGTTGGAACAGGATCGGAGAAACTTGTCAGGGTAACAACATGATTTTTTAAAATTAAATCTCAAACTGAATTCTGTGAATTAAGTATTCTACATATATAATCTATTGCAAGAAGTTGTCAATATTTCAATTTGTCGTTGCAAGCACATACCCTCAACACTAGGTAGTTTCCTTGACCATGCAAGAATCATTGACCAATTGCAGTGATTTTTTCGTCAATATTTTACTGTCTCCTCCAGCTGACTGCCACTTCCCATGTGAACACGGTCTGTGTGTTGAGACAAACTTTTGTGAATGTGATGAAGGCTGGGAAGGTGCACAGTGTGAACACGGTAATGTTGTCTTAACTTTATTAGTGACAAATTCGATGACAATGATGTTTATTTGCACATTCATACCCATGAGGTCTAAGCGCAGTACATGTAGTTTTACATGAGTCGCATTGACATTAATAAGAAGTGCTACACTACATCTATTGCATGCAGATGAAAGAGCATATAAGACTAACATTGATTACATAGTTTACGTGTTTCTTAACAGTTACATACGAACTCACGATTTTTTCTTGTGTATTATATTGTTAGGGGATGTCGTTATCCTTTCTGGTAAAAAGTGTAAATGGACTTTTCTTGGGTCATATGCAGCGTGCACCTTTCGTCAGTATTGTCACCAGTACTCATCACCTCACGTTGACCTTGATTTGGCATATACCGTGCTTTGGCATATACTTGACAACTACCTGGTCCTAATGCTTGTTATTCGTGTTGTTGCCATGACACCAAAGAACTCCTGCAAAGGCTTGCTGACTTGAGATGAATAGCTCTATGTCTCTTGCTTTCCTGGTCATATTAAATATGCAAAGAAAACACACACACACACACACACACACACACACACACACACACACACACACACACACACACACACACACACACACACACACACACACACACACACACACACACACACACACACACACACACACACACACACACACACACACACACAAACACACAAATATATTTATATATTGCATATTAAATTGCAGACGAATTTGCCAACAACTTTGATTGGGATTCAGATAAGCAAACATTATATAAGCAGGATCATCTGAATGAAATGTCATTGTTCAATTACAGCTTAACTCTTCACGTTGATTGTATCTGTGTAGATATCGACGAGTGCTGGTACGAGACAGACGAGTGTGACCGTGAGAACGGCGCCTGCACCAACACAGAAGGGTCTTACAACTGTACCTGCAACGACGGGCTACATCTCATTAACGGGACGGTCTGCCATGGTAGGATACTTCCCCTCGCTAAAATACAAATCTTACCATCATCTCAAAAACAGTTCAATATGGCACCTACTGCATTGACAGCAATGTCATACATGTACCAATATATCATACTGGAGAATTGCGGACTTACTTACTTATCCTCTTCGTCCCTTGTGAGACATAAGGCCATGACTTTCTTCCTTCATCTGGGTCTGTCCTGCGCCATGTTGTTGACACTTCTCCAGTTCAGACCCATGGCCGCCAGGTCATCTGACACCGTTCTCCTCCATGTGGTCTTTGGTCTGCCTCTTTTTCTCTTTCCTTCTGGCCTCCAGCTAAGTGCGACTTTGGGGATCCTGTTGTCAGGCATCCTCAGTACATGCCCTAGCCACTTGAGTCTTCTGCCTGTGATCTCGGTGGTGAGTTTCCTACAGCTAGTTCTGTTGTAAAGTTCGGCATTGGAGATCTTGTTTGGCCAGAAGACGTTGCAGATCTTACGTAGACAACTGTTGTGAAATGAGTTGATCTTCCTCATGTCCGTCTTCGTCATTTTCCAACTCTCAGAGCCATACAGAAGGACGGATTTCACATTGCTGTTGTAGAGTCTGGCCTTGGTCGTGAGGCTATACTGCTTCGACTTCCAGATGGTTTGTAGTCGGCTAAAAGAACCTCTTGCTTTGTCAAGGCGGGTTTTAATGTCGTTTTGTGCACCAGAGAATTGCAGAACGGTTTACTTATCCTATGTTATTGGGATTTTCTTATACACAACCAGGGTTTCTCCCTACCTTGCGTAGTAATACGTTTCGATGTCTATCAGACACCTTCCTCAGAGCTTCTGACTGTATTACTGCTTCTCGCCGCTTTATGTAGCCGATGTAGCTGGCGCTTTTGCGGCGAGAACACAATCCCAAACGTGGCTGAGTTTGTATCCCCCCTATTTCCAATTTATAGTCTAAGAACTGATATAACACCACTTCAATATAAGTCAGAAGAACAACATTTATGTACACTTACTAAAAAGCTCAAAACTGCTGCGGGATATCACGAAGTATCATCTTAACCGTAAGAGATCGGTGCAGTATTCAAAAGTTGAACATCGCATTGTTTTGCTTACAGAAACCCCGGACACGGACGAGTGCGCCACAGGCAATGGCGGCTGTGGACAGAACTGTCACAACACACACGGGTCGTACTACTGCACCTGTGACGCAGGGTACACCTTAGCTGCCGACAGATACACCTGTACAGGTAAGCACACACGGGTCGTACTACTGCACCTGTGACGCAGGGTACACCTTAGCTGCCGACAGACACACCTGTACAGGTAAGCACACACGGGTCGTACTACTGCACCTGTGACGCAGGGTACATCTTAGCTGCCGACAGACACACCTGTACAGGTAAGCACACACGGGTCTTACTACTGCACCTGTGACGCAGGGTACACCTTAGCTGCCGACAGATACACCTGTGCAGGTAAGCACACACGGGTCGTACTACTGCACCTGTGACGCAGGGTACACCTTAGCTGCCGACAGATACACCTGTGCAGGTAAGCACACACGGGTTCCTAGGCAATTACCTAATTCTGACCATCTGTACCGCCTGTAATTCCTAAGTTGTGATTTCACGTTGACATGATGCGTTTGCGTCTATCTCTAGATATCAATGAATGCGCCACAAACAGAGGTGGATGTGAGCACTTCTGCACCAACACGCCTGGCGGCCGGGAGTGCAGCTGCAGGCGGAACTTCCGGCTTGTAGACGGGCGGATATGCCGAGGTAGGACAGCAATGGTCATGAAGCTGTCGAACTTCCTAACCTTCGGCCCTGTCAGTTTATTTGTGGTTCTTGTAGTGTAGCAAATGGAGATATCCATGCTACACTGCGTAGATAAGCACGTAACAAAGAAACCTTCAGAGAAAACTGCCGCAGGATATACATGTGAACACCAAAGATAACAACAAACAAAGAAACAAAGAGACAGTTTTGACATAAAAATCTCAACCAAACTGTCACGAAATTTGCTTTACCATCATCATTGGTAAGGATAAAATGTAAGGATAATTGTAAAAGCCTAAAAATAATCAACTCATAAGTTTGGACAAGCTTTACCCTAAACGTAGAAGCTTTACCCCAACAAGACAACTTTTAACGTTTGTTTTTCTGACAGATGACGACATGTATCCGTACGGAGACGAGGCTGGTGAATCTCCCCGCAGGTGGGACTTCTCAACCTGCACTGACGAGTCTCTGCCGCAAGAGGGCTTCCGTTTCTTTGGACGACGTCACCACGAGATACACGTGAGTCAAGACATCTGTTCATAGTTCACTTACATTTGGTTTACAAGAAATCCTTATATTTTAAGGAAGACAATAATTAGGCATTGCGTAAGAATAAATCTTGCCTTGTGATTTGCCACTAATGATTCTAGATTGAACTGCCTATAGCTATGTATCAACAGTGACTTGATAGTTGAGTGAGCAATTTCAATGATATCCATCTCATCTCAGATCTGCGACAACGGCATCGTCAGCTTTGATCGCATCAAACGCCCGCGGAACCCGATTCTGATACGGAACACTTTCCGCTTCCGCACGGCTGCAGTTCTGGCTCCTTTCCTGGCCAGATCCAACGCTTCACGTGAGTTATACGAACTACAAGAATTACATGTTTAAAGTTAAAACTTTTGGTCCGACACAAAAGAATTCTCTCACCTAGAGCTTTCGACCAGTCACTCTGGTCTTCTTCAGTAGACTGACCCAGTGAAGCTTGTCACGTGGCTTCTTTGAAGTGTGACGTCAACAACGGGTCAAAGGTATCTTGTAGACGATGTCGGCCCCCGTCGCGGTTCAATGTAGGGTGATTGGCCCTAATGTATATGGCTTCCTTCACCCCTCTCAAGAGATAGTCTTGAAAGACGCCACGTGACAAGCTTCACTGGGTCAGTCTACTGAGGAAGACCAGAGTGACTGGTCGAAAGCTCTAGGTGAGAGAACTTTTTGTGTTGGATCAAAAGTTTTAACTTTAAACATGTAACTACCAACACAGATGAACTTTCATGATAGTACAAGAAATACACATGATATCCTACACATAATTGAGAATTTATTCTGGCCGGGTCTAATGCTCCGCATATGTGATCAAAGGCCCAATCAAACAAAAGAAACAAGAACATAGTTTACGTGGCTTAAGAAAATAAACCAATCTAAGTGAAACAAGTTAAAAGTAGTGCGGTAAAAATATATATAAATATGAAAACTCACATTTGAGCCATTTGTAACGGCAACACAGGCGATTGTTTATACAGATATAAAACTTCTAAAACAAGCACATAATCGTCATGAAAATACATCTCAGGCATTATTGATATGCATATCAAGTTCTTGATAAGAATTTCTAAAACAAAGATGAAGACGAAGATCTATAGTAACTACAGATTCTAGACTATAGATGTATGTGACGTCGACAAGGATAAGAATATAGCTACTTCGAAAACTGAACTCACCTCACGATTTCCTGTTATGCTTTACAGTTCTTGACAACCTTCCTGAAGATGAGAGGACGGAGATCTACTACAGCTTGTACGAGAGAGGCGACGGGAAACCGGCTACGGACGAGGTGATGCGGAGGGCAAGGGACGACGGGAGGTCCACACCTGGGTACTTTTCTCCAAGTAAGTAATCAGAAAAGAATATAATCTTATTAATTTAAAGTACTACTGGGCCAAGTCCCGTTGAGGGACATCACGTCCACAGCCTTCATGCGGCCGGTGGTGGCGGTGCCCCCCCCCAAAAAAAAACAACTAACAAACTAGCTAACCCAAAATAACTTGACTAAAAAACTAGAGAGGCCGACATTTGCTTGGGAGCAAATACAGCATATTTCAGTCCATCTCCCTCCCACGCAAAAGTGGACTTACCCCAGTGTAAAACTGGCAAAGATTCTCAAATAAATGAATTATATAGTAGCTATGTAATTGATATGGAGGGGGTGCGAGATTCTTATGTGTCAAGTTCATCTGCCTCTGCTCTATGTGATGATCGTTTTGTTTTGTATGGTGGTTATCATCACGATAAGTCTGGTCTCCATCCACCAGAGCCAAGTTGTGACTTGTATGTCATGAACCTTCAAACAAAGAAGGCTGTTGTGCACCATGCACCTACGAGAATGGCCAGTGCAGGCCATACATGTCTGAGATTGATTGATAATAGTGTAGTTATGATTGGAGGCACATGTAAATCTGTCAACTGTTGTACCAATCTGTAAAAAGCTAAATAATGTACTGTATTTTGATCTTGATTTGTTTTCTTGTTACAGATTTGTTGTGCTTTACTGTTTGTGCACATGTATCAGGCCTCGAAATTAACTTTTCTTCCTTTTGTCCCAGCACTGTCCCAAAAATAAATTTATAATTGTCCCAACCTTTTTTGGGAAGTATTGTATGACTTAAACTTTATTTTGCTTACGTTCACTCCCAGGCGGACAATAATTGCAAAGTAGGCAGGAAATTCGGTGGGACTTTTTTGGATCCTTAAGTCAGGACTTTTAATTTCGAGCCCTGATGTATGTATAGAGATTGACTTCAGTCTATGAGTATGACTGTAAAAATGTTGAGCAGAAGGTGACTGGGATGTCGTAGCTCTGACGTCAGCAGAAGGTGGCTGGGATGTCGTAGCTCTGACGTCAGCAGAAGGTGGCTGGGATGTCGTAGCTCTGACGTCAGCAGTTGGTGGCTGGGATGTCGTAGCTCTGACGTCAGCAGTAGGTGGCTGGGGTGTCGTAGCTCTGACGTCAGCAGTAGGTGGCTGGGATGTCGTAGCTCTGACGTCAGCAGTAGGTGGCTTGGATGTCGTAGCTGATATGTTGGATGATGTAGGGCGGCCCCTTCTTCTTTTGCAGTGGCAGTTACCATCTGTTGTGTGTGGCTGGAAGATGACCATGCCTGTCCCTGCTTTGATTTCTGTTTTAATCTTTGCAACTTGAGACGGCATTTGTTACAAACGAACTGTGGATGTACATCTAGTAAGTCCTGACTCACATCCACATTGTATGATCGGCGGATCACGTCTGCAAATGTCAGCACGTTAGCATTCCATCCTTTCGATCAGCTTGTTACCGCACACCCTGCAGACAGTCTTGAGGTTTTCTTTGTGCTCCTCCATCTGTGACACCTGAAGTGCATGTGAAGATGTGAAAAACATGTTAACATTGTCACTATGGACACTACCCGACATAAAACATGCATACTGATACAATCCAATTTTTCTCTGAAAATAATAATAATAAAACAGACTACATATTCAGGACAAGGACTAAGCTGTTGTCCTTGTTTAACGTCTAATATCTAGCTAGACATAGCTGCATGGACTCTTGGTGCTGTCATGCGTTTTAATTGGTTCAGTTCAGAGTCAAATTGTCTCTCTAGGTATTTAAAATTTAATTCGAGGGGGGGGGGGCGTGGGCTGCTAGGCTTTGCATCATTTATTTTAGTCTGTACACATTCAAATTCTGTTTAAACAGAACTATTTACCAAATCCAGAACATCCTAGTATTTTAGGTCTATATTCTGTATTATTCCATACAATATAATGTAGGGGAACGAGAACAACGCACACATTTTTATTGACAAAACCATGCATATCCTTTGTGTCGTAAAAAGTATGGTCGCGTCGTTGAATGGAAACATCTCAAAATGGCTCCCAGACATGTCAGGATACCACCCAAAAATCGACTAATTCCAGAAAAAATCTGTACGCAAATAGTAGCCTAATTACTCCAAGACATCATTAAGATCATCATTTACCCCCTGAGGAGCAAGTCATTAATCTAAAAATTCATAACTTACCAAAAATTCGCCGTAAAAAGCTCCGGTTTTCGGCTCCTGGAAGCTTGGATTCTCCCCGGACCCCTTTTCAAATCGAACTAGTGCGCAGGCGTACAACCAACGACTCGTTCCCAGGGTCTTTTGCGCATCTCTAACTACTTAAAATTCAGGGTGCCCTGGGGTCGAGTTACCCTGGTCACGTGTGCACTTAATGAGCAAGATGGCCGCCGACCTTATGCACACGTAAGTTTTCATAGTGCCCCAAATGAGTCATTTGGAAGTGGTGTATGCCAAATATGTGACTGCTATTCTGTAGACACACGTTCAAGGTACCCTTATACCGAATTTCAGATCATTTGGTTGTAAAACCAGGGCTCAGGATCAAAAAATCCATTTTTTGGCGAAAAATGCCCCAAAAAACCTTCATAAAAAGTTTTCAAAGGCATGTATCAAAAAAATGAAAAAAAAAAACGCCTGGGGGTATTGGCTCATTCTACCTCCATGCCAAATTTCAAGTCATTTAGCTGAATGATGGCGGAGTTGAATCCCTTTATATATATTGACTGTGTGGCAGGAGAAGAAGAAGAAGAAACATAAGAGAACACAATATATTTCATCCATACCATGGTATGGACTGAAATATAATAAACAAAAAAGGTGCTCTGACCACACAAAGTTCATCTTTATTTAAACATAGGCCGAGCCCCGTTTTAGAAGACCAAGTTGCTGTAACCGAAAGTAGACTAAATAGAAGGTCATTCATAGACATCCTGGTATTTGATTACATGTGTTTTCCTATCAGAGTAGAGGTGAAAAACGTCAAGACATTTACTCAGGTTTTTCTTTTGACAGACTTTGACCCTGTGTGGGCGCTTGTGGTGACGTGGACGAGTGTTCCTCCGGACTGTAGCATGTATGGCGGCGGGGTGTGTCCGCGACCACACGACCAACTCCCGGTAAGTTCTGCAGCAGGGTCAGTGCTTCCTTCCTCTTTCTTCCCCCCACATGATATTGTCTTTCTTTTTTGTTGCTGCCATTTGTGCCGACCCACTCACCTCTCCACAACCCTTCTCTGCAAGGCCCCCCTCGACTTTCCATCTCCAAGTCATTTCTTTTTTTATTCCAACATTTAACACGACATGGTGACGGCACAAGTTTTTAGGTTATTTTGATGCCTCCACCAACACAGAGGACAATGAACAATACTCATGTTAAGTGAGGAAAGCCGTGTCAAGTGCCTTTTCTCAGGGAGATCACGAGATCGGCGCCATGCCAGCATTCGAACTCAGGACCTCTTGGTTTTGAGCTGAGCAGTCGTCGCTAAGCCACATGACCCATAAGATCATTGCTCGGCATCCGAATTCAGCGCACCTAGCGTAGTCATCCCAGTCATAGCAGTCTAACTCTTGCACTAGCGTAAAAAGTTTGGCGACGAAACCACTTTTCATTTAGATTTTGGTAGTCGTTTGCAGGCATTCCTTCAACACGCCTATCAACTGTCGACTGCAAAGTAATTTTTCGTTGAAGAGGTTCATCAGTCCCGTAAAATTATCAGTAAGAATATTAGTCAATCAGTGACCGTTTTGAAAGATCGAAGCACGTACCTCTAAATTGTTGATGTGCACTGTACATCTTGATCACGGACATCATTAAGAGCATCATTAAGAATCCGGAAAGGCGCATGGAAAGATCAAGGAAGCCATCCACAACCAGTTAGAACGTGCCGGCCGGAATCGCAACAAAGGTTGGGAGCTGCCCAAGTCCTACCTACCCCTACTCCGCAAGGAGACGGCGGAGGACAGAAGATATGAACAAGTCTCGACTTAGTCTCATGTTCTCGCGAGACTAGGTCACTTCTTGATCAAGATGCACAGACGACCTTTCAAAACAGTCACTGATTAACGAATATTCTACTAAGTGAAAGTAACTTTTAATATGACTCAGGATATCCTACCTTAATTGTCATGTAATCAACATTGTAAGAATAAGTCGTGTGAATTACATTAGGCCACACCAAGTATATTTTATGGTTGACGTCCGCGCGCGCATTGATTTTGGCCTGTTCCTAGAAAAAAACCCAAGAAATTCCGCTTCCTGTAACTATGACCAAAGAGTCACGATAAATCTGCAAATCGCCAGACTGACGTGAAACGCTATTTTGATGATGAATAAAAGACTTCTTGCTTGTTACACTGTGTCACCTCATTCAATTTGTGTCCTAACATTTGTCGTCTCTTAGTGTATTTCTAATCTAGGCATCTTGTTTTTAGGGCCCTTTTTGTTTTTTTTTTTCGCCCTTTCGCATTAGATTTAGAGTCTTACTTAATAAAAGGACGCCATCCATAAAATTTACTTGGTGTGGCCTTACCGTTTATTTTCAGGTAAACGATTTTCAGCTGGCCATATCGACCAACGGGACCCACTCCTATGCTACATTTGTATATCCCACACTGAAACAAGAGTGGGTAAGCACCGGTAAGAACTTTTACTATTTATTTTTTTTATAAATGTTCTCTACGATATGTGAAATGGATCATACCGTGTCAACAAAGGTTGAAAGGAAATTGTTGAGCGAAATTAGGGAATTTAATGTTTTCATGGCTTAAATTGTACATAGGGAGAACATAGTCTCACTTTCTTTCTCAAGTTATCAATCGTGCTCAGTCACTACTAAACAAACTCCGCCTTAACTTAACTACTGCAAAATCGCGGCATTCCCATTACAGATGGACGAAGGAAAGGGGAATACGCCAGTGTCACGTAGATGAAAGGACCGTTTGGGGCTATTTTAACGCTTCAAGTATTATTATAAACCATGATGAAAATGTGCTCAGAAATTGCAGTAACTGGTGATGTCCGACAGATTTCCATTAACCCAGAATATATATTTTCTGCAACTTTGAAATTTCATTTGATCTCATTGATTGCAAAAATGGTAAATGACTTCCCAGATGAAGCAAGAGAAGGCGGGAGGCGGAAGTGCCCCAAAGCTGACGGGACCGTGGCTGTGGGAGGTTACAGTGCGGGAGACGGGACCGGTCCCTACCCTCACACCCCCGCCATCAACTCTAGTCTGGTGTTCAGAAACAGGGACTACTCCGGACAGGACTGCAACGGGAATAGACTCGGCATGATTTCGATGAGGAATCTTTATCGGGTAAACGGAGGTGAGTTACAGACTAAATTACTAGTATCCGTAAATAATTTCATCAGGTTGGTAAACGACTGAATAGCAAAGTTCTTTTTATCACAACCATTTATTTTTCAAGCCGACGTTTCGATGACCTTCTGTCATCTTCATCAGGGCAATAGTGTGTATGTATGTCACAATTACACTACGTTCCGAAATGTATTGTAAACAGAAAAAAAAAACTAGCTTAAGTGCACTATGAACTATGTAACACCTTTAGTGCACTATGCACCAAGTAACATCTAGCGTCGGTGCACAGTAAACCGGTCAGAATTGCCCTGATGAAGAAGACAGAAGGTCATCAAAACGTCGGCTTGAAAAATAAATGGTTGTGATAGAAAGACGTTGCTATTAAATTACTAGTAGTTTTGCGGAAGATTTTGATGGATAATTGCGCATTCGAATTCGCGAACATTATTAGATGTTTTTCTAGAGATCAAGAGCAAGGATATTTCATTGATTTAATTTTTTTTCTTCAGGAAACTGGAAGTTCGCACTGCAGCCGCAGGAGAACACAGTTGTACCGGAGTCAACGGTGGTGGAGTGTTCACGGTGGATGAGGGAACAGATAGTGGAGGATCCTACTCAGCTGCTCGGATACAGTGCCCTACCTCCCGTCTTTTCCTGCCCTTGTTCCGCAGAGCAGGCATTCTATGATCCAACGTGAGTGCAAACGTCATCAAAGCGTAACGATCAGTACCAAATTGCCTGCTTGCTTATCCGATAGTGTTGCCTTTTCTGGCTGAAGTTTTCCTCCTTTATCCTCATAGCCAAACGAACATACATGACAAGGGCTTGAATCTTTCCTTAATTTGTCATTTATTATCTGATTCAATAAATATATTTGATCTTATGCCTTTGATTTTTTTTCCTTCATTATCATGAAAGTTTATATATGTTGGCAATAATCAAAGTAAAAGGTTAAACTTTATTCCAACACACAATTTACAGAGATCAAATTTTCAGCGACCACTGTCGCCTTCATCAGGATGATTTATTCTCGCGAGATCTCATTGTGAAGTGATTGGTCATTAATTACCCTGATGAAGGTGACAGTGGTCGCTGAAAATTTGATCCCTGTAAATTGTGTGTTGTAATAAAGTTTAACCTTTTACTATCTTTTTTCCTTGCTGCTTCAACCATAACAAACACGAATATGTTTAAAAACTTACCTTTCTTACAGCCGTATTCTATCATATTTTGGTAAGTACTTTTTATCAACAAAAGCAGTATTGCAGCCATATTGTAGTGGATCCGGATCTACCGTCCGTGTTAAATGATGTACATTGCCGTTGCTTACGGATTTTGTTGGCAACCGTCTGTTTCTAGAGATGGTACCGCACTATGTGCATGGTTCAAAATCTCAGATATGTTCATTCTAAGGACTTTGTCCTCCTTTGGTGTGCAGGTACACCGTGCACAGCTCTCAGTTCGGCCAGTCCCGGTTCTGTGCCCGGAGCAGGCGGCGGGTCCACACGCCAGTCGGCGGGGAGAAGCTGATCCTGTCCCGGTCCTGCTGCTACTCCACGGCGTACTGGTGGAGGGAAACACGAGGGAGGAGGTGGAGGAACAGGATCGGTGGTGGAACGCTTCTGATTGGCCACGCGGGGGGCCATCTTGTTATTGTAAGTGGTGTCTTTAGATCTAAAAAAATCTAATCGTACGAAGCTAATATGTGAATTTTCAAACATTTTTACAACAGCACCACTAAGTGATGGAAAAAGTTAGACCTCAAATAACCAAGGAGATTTGCACACTCATTTGTTTATATATATACATATTTATATACATTTATATATATATATATATATATATATATATATATATATATATAGAGAGAGAGAGAGAGAGAGAGAGAGAGAGAGAGAGAGAGANACAGAGAGAGAGAGAGACAGAGACAACCATTGTCTGACAATAACCTCTAACTAGATACGGCTAAGTTCTTCGCATTCCTAACTTTACAGAACGACCAGGCTGCTGACGAGGCTGCCTACCAGTCCTGCTGTGTGGACGCGGCCGGGCTGAGGGACGGCTGGTACTGTCAGAGGTTCCAAACTCTGCGGCCGCTCACCGCTCCGTCTGCACCGGGGTGTCAACATTATCCTGTTAACATTGGTGGGTACACAGTATGATTGGTCATGAATACGGGTTATGAATATGTGTGTGTGTAGAGCATTTTACCAATTTGGATTGTTGGTCTACGGACAAAAGTAAAATCCTGAACGGGATAGAGCCATGACAACGGAGTCTGAAGGGATGTCTGAATTTTAGCGTTCACAGCTTTATACATAATGAAGGAGTGGATATGATGCGAGTCTTAATTTTTTTCTTGCAGGCCTCATATGTCAGGTTGTTTACCTCTTAATATTATAGTTAAAACAAGTGTTTTTCCAAATTCAAAATACTAAAACTTTTTTCTGATCACTAAGCCTGTTAAGAATGTTGTTGTTTTGTTTTGTCTTCTTGACTTTTTTTTAATGCCCACGATCATCATACTTATCATTCTGGCATGCCAATTCTTGACAAGACTCCGGAGTATAGAATTTGTACCATCGCACACCGTGGCATGCCCCTACTCTTTTTCGAAAGGTGTAGCGGGTACTTTAGCGTGCGTAGGGTGTGGCTCTCCAAACAAGAGACCTCCATTTAACGTCCTATCCGAGGGACGTCCCTAACCAAAGCTAGGTACTCATTTACACCTGAGTGAAGTGAGGATAGTCGTGTAAAGTGCCTTTCCCAAAGGCACAAGATCGGTGACACCCGCAGAGGGTGGGGATCGAACCCGGGACCTCTAGGTCCTGAGCCGAACGCGCTACCGCTGGGCCACACGACCCCACTATAATTGTTTTTCTTCCAATGTTGTTTCCAGGCTGGACGTGGTTCCGCTGGGATCCCCACTTCACCACCCTGGACGGCGTCAGCTACACCTTCAACGGGCTGGGGGAGTACGTCATCGCGGACACAGACAGCGGGCGGTACCAGGTTCAGGGCCGGACTGCTCTGGCGCCAGGTTCGTAACAGCTGATTTAGGCCACATCAAGTTAATTTTATGGATGATATCCTCCGCAGACTTCCAATCTAAGGCGAGCGGGCGAAAAAAAAAACAGGCGGACCGAAAAAAACAAGGTCCATAAAATTTAAAATTTTGACTCAATCATTGTACAAACCGTTTTGATTCATACATAGCCAACATCACATATCACTGCATCAAAGTAAGAAACAAAATATAAATCATAGCATTTTCTTGTCTCCTCTCATAGTTATGTGCCATCCACCTTCCGGCATGGCAGCAGACATCTTTGCCCATTTTCGGCATGTTGATCACTGTCAGAAGGCAACAAAATTTCTTTTTTTTTTCCAAAATCAGGCGAAAAGTAATGCGCGCGCTGATGCCATCCATAAAAATTACTTGCTGTGGCCTTAGTTAAGTCTCCGTGTTTTTGTTTGCTACTTTGATGACTTAATCTGGTCCTGCTCGGATCGTCGTGCTCGGATGTTTATTTTTCAAGAGGGATTCATGAAAGATAAGACACGGCTCTGAGGGCTGACTCCATGAGGGTCTACCGTGCTGCGCGGAGTGATCTGTATAACGGTGAATGGTGTTGGCATCATGTAGTGCAGTGTTAGCAAGGCTCCTGTGGTGAAAGTATCATACATGATGAGACAGTGTAATAGAGTCATATTGTTTAATAGAGTCATACTGTGATAGCCATGTACTGTGTCCCATCCCTGGCGATGTATCTTTTCTCTTGGAAAACCCTCTACATTACGCCAAAAAGCAGTTACTCAAGCAACTGGATGTCGGCCCCCGTCGCGGTTTAATGAAGGGTGATGGGCCCTGATGTATATGGCTTCCTTCACCCCTCTAAAGAAATAGTCTGGTTCAGTGTCTAAAACCCTTACAGTGTCAAGTGAAAAAAATGTCCGGGTGACTCTATGTGAATGTGTTGAGACACCTCTGAACTGGCAGAGCTAGGCCCTGTATGTTCTTGAAACCTCTCTGTTAGAGACATCGTCTACCAGATACCTTTGACCCAGTGTTGACGTCACAATTCAAAGAAGCCACGCGACAAACTTCACTGGGTCAGTCTACTGAGGAAGACCAGAGTGACTGGTCGAAAGCTCTAGGTGAGAGAATTTTTGGTGTTGGATCAAAAGTTTTTACTTTAAACATGTAGCTACCAACACAGATGAACTTTCATGATAGAACAAATTTAATCTTATTGTTCTACACAAACATCGACAGGAAGCAGCCACGCTACAGTCATCTCTACAGTTGTCATTAACGAGAGAGGAAAACTCCCCATCCAGATAAACATAGTCGGTAACTCCAGCCTGGGTCTCTACGTAAACGGCAGTCTGACAGACTCATCGGTGTTCGAAAGTAACGAAGAGATAGAGGTCGGAGACAACGCAGTTATCCTCAAACCTTCCAACGACTCCATTCTCGTCGTCTTTCTAAGTGGGGTGACTGTCAAAGTCTCTGCCAAAAAGGTACGATGGTGTCTCGGTGAAGTCTTGGTTGACTAAGACTGTCTACTCAATGTTGTGTTGGTCTGTCGATGAATCTGTGTGTGTAGGTGTCTCATGACACTTATGGCTCGTTCTCATTCAAATGATTGTATAAATTGGTGATTTTTTTTTTGGTCGAAAAATCGATGATCTGTTTTTTTAGGCACACCTACCTTAATTTGTAGGAAAACATCCCAATAAATTACCAAAAAAGGACAGCTTAATTGCCATGGGAACTTACCGAAAATTTATGCACTTAGATAAGACATATGTAAACAATGCAATTTTTAGTGCGGAAAAAACACTGGAACATCAGCATGAGTTGGGTGTATGATAAAGCTTGTATTTATGACATCACCTCAAAAGCCATTAGTTTAGGCGTCAGTATCTATGAAAGTACTTATGCCAACCCATTATCTACTGGTAAATATACACATATCTAACACATAAAAATAGCTAAGTGTAGAGTATAGAAGTAGCAAGAAGTATAGAAGTATAGTGATTTGGCTCATACCTAGTCGTAAAGAGTGGCGACAGCATTTTGTACATTTGAATGAGAACGAGTGTTATGTGTACGATTGTAATATTCCCAATGCACACAGTGTAGGAAAGCCATGGTATCATATATATCCCCAGTGCTGTTAGTTTTTGTCTGTGAGCCTGAAACAATCGCAAAGACGTGCCACTGGGTTAATGTGCGTAACGGCGATTTGTTCGAATCCTGACATACCACCGAGCTTTGGCACCTGGGAAAGGCACTTAAGACGACTTTCCTCACTTCAATCAGGTACAAATGAGTATTACCCGCCCATGCGTTTATCTGCGTTGGTGGCGGCATAAAAGTTAAAGAAAACTGAAGTGTGCCGTCGCCATGTCTTCTTACACAGTAATAAATGTTTGAATGGAATAAAAAGACTTAAGGGTAAGTTAATAAAGTCTACCAGCTTTTACGCCAAAAAGCAGTTACTTAAGCAACTGGGTGTGATTTTAGAAACGGTCAAACAGTTTGACTGCTTCCAAAATCATATCTAGGTGCTCGAGTAACTGCTTTTTGGCGTATCGTATTACCTAGATATCTAACCTTCACCAACGTATCTACCATCTCTGATTGCCTTGGTTCTATCCCGCCCAGGGCATGCTGGCCGTGGAGTTCTCGGCCCCTCCTGAGTACCGTGGGAAGGTGCGGGGTCTGCTGGGCCGGTGGGACGGGGACCCGGCTAACGACTTTGAGGCGTTCAACGGAACCGTGTTTCCAGCTGATTCCACTGAGCGAGAACTGTATGAGTTCGGAAATTCATGTAAGTTCTTATTTTTATAATGAGACGAAATTGTTCGTTCGTAGTTATAAGAAAAGCATGGACTGACTATCAGCTCGAAAGTTCTTCTGTGTTGGAAAAAGTCATTATGGTAAGGTTCAACTGTATTTTTTTAACACAAGACATTAGGCTTACCCAAATGTACCCATTATATAATTACTTCAATCTGTGGACATTGATTAAATAATCATCAATATCTTTTCAATCCAACACATGTAACAGAACAAGACGAATAGTCAGGAACGTGTGTGTTTTCTACAGACCTATGCAGAGGAAATGCAAATATTTCAATGCGCGGAACACAGATAGAATATTACAAATTATTGGTCACTCTATCTTTCATTTATTGACCTTACGACTAACATTGAATATTTTTCTAAATCCAGGGAAGGTCACAGCAGAAAATGGACCGAAGAAGTCCGTGTTCTTCTACAAGGATGGAGAAGACGTGAACACTTTTACATCCACCGACTACCAACCCAAGTACACCGACGAACTCCTCTTTGACGACCCGGAGTTGGAGACCAGAGCGCGCGAGATCTGCGGCAATGACACGGAGTGTCTGTTCGATGTGAGCCAGACGGGAGACCTGGAGGTGGCGGTCATCACTGTCAAGGGGAAGGAGGAGTTTGGAAGCCAGACAGCTGCTCGTGGTGAGTCATTTCAGTGATTATTACATTCTTAATTAAAGAGAGGCTGGTATAGAAGACTACCTGTATGTTAAAGAATCTGTAAATATTGTAGTGCAAAGGCTGTGGAAGACGAAGTACATTTTATTTCAAACTGTTCATTCCATAACAACGCTAGAAATGAATTGACTATTCAAACTTCTACAATTTATCCCAATTTCTCTAAACTTACAGACAAAGAAAAAAACTTTCCTTCTTTTAACTTCCCCAAACCCACAAATTTCGTAAAAGGTGGGACATTACGTCTTCCATGGTTTACGGAAGAGAAGTCAAACCCTTCAGACATAGTTTTAGACATATTTATAGTTCTAGACAGCCACCTTTATCATGTAGACTTTAGTTATTTTATACTCTATTTCATTGTTCTTTTGTGTTTTGTAATTTTCAATTAGCCTCCGGGCAAGAATTTGCAAGAAACTTTTTAGTTAATTTAAAGCCCTTGTCACACATTCACGAATATGGTCTCCCGAATAGTATCCTAACTCCAACAATCATAGTTAGGAGTAGGTCAGGTCAGAGCTAATCCGGCTGGGTTGATTAATTGTTTGGGGGAAGGCGAAGACGACTAATAACTGGCTGTTTAAACATTCGGGAGTTGATCGGGAGGTTCGGACATGGTTTGCTGTAAATTAGAAGAACACCAGCCAACCGTTGGGAAAGCAAGTCATTAGTGTTCGGGGGTCACATTTGACTCAAACGTAACTTAAATTCGATTCGTATAGAAAGGTAATCGTGGCGTTAAACTAGCCAGACTGCTCCCGAATTTCAGTCGAAGTTGTTCGCGTGATGTTCGGGGGGCAATGTCCTGACTGTGTAACTGAAGGTTTTTACTGTGTGGAACAGATATTACACTCATTAATATAGAACGATGTTTGCCAATTGGCCACACATTGTAGCCATTACAAATGTTCAACAGTTGGTTGATAGATCTTTATCTAAGTTACGATGTCAAGTCTATCTTGATCTTTTGATAGTTTTTCCCGGTGTGCTACTATACTAGAATCGTGTGTTGGGCTGTATTTTGCCACACATGTATTATATGTGTACAAAACTACGGAACTACTCTTACCAAATCTTTGCACTTCGAGAAAGAAGATTTTGCCTCAAGTATAGGTTCTCTGAACAAGATATCTAAATGGATGTCTGTAAAGATTAATTCAGTTAAATAAACTCATGAAAACAGCTATAAAACAGCTATAATTTCGAAAAGTTTCTAATGTAAATAGTATGGATTTTATCAACGACAATCACACACTTACCCTTTAATTAGATATCTTTTTGATTAAAAGGTTATCAGAGGTTTAAAAAAACAGCAGATTGTTTATCTTTGTTGCTCGAATCTCAATAAAATAGAACATAGAAAATATGTGAAGGAAGAAAAAAAGATTACAAGTTTTAATGCTCTTCTCACTCGACCTTCAGAGCGCTTCCCTCCGACTGTATTCGGGCCGGACGCGGTGTACGCCACTGTTAATGACACCGTAACGATCCGCATCAACGCCTCGGATCCGAACAACGGGTCACTCGTGTTCGCGCTCGGGGAGGACGTGCCGAACTCTGTAGATCTGACGGCTGACGGGGACGTGGCAACGCTTACCTGGCAGGTTAGTTATAATGAGTTATCGTCTCTCCTATTTACAGAACAATGAATGAAAGACCTTTATTGTACGTTTATGCTCTAACAAGCTAAGTACATGTCATGAATAGACAAGGAAAAGGATACAGCAATGATACTTAAACTATACATACTAATGTGATCTACTATTTACATTGTTAGACTTCGTCTCGCTTCTTGACGCAGTTATAGATGTACGAGCATATAGAACTAGTGGTACATGTACATGGTTTGTCAAGTTTCATAAGAAATAGGAATTTTTCTGATTCATTCAAATGACCAAAGCTGGGAAACTTATCTATTATATAAGAATATAGGAAATCTCTCTCATTACTATATAACGTGCAATCGACTACGAAATGATACTCATCCTCAATCTTATCTAAATCGCAAAATTAGCAAATCCTTTGCTCTAGAGGAATGCGGTTGTGTCTGCCTTTTTCTATGTGGAGTTTGTGTGAACTTATCCGGAGTTTTGTGATGGCTGTTCTGTGTCGAATGTTTGTAATTTTCAGATATTTTTACTCGTGGTAAATAATAATCTGTATGTCCGTAATTTACATATATTTGGCCCTTTTCCCACTAGGATCCGGATTGATCCGGACAATTTTATCATACTGGGAAAAGGGCCTTTCTGAGGGCCCGTTCATTCTGCGATCGAAAAGTGAGGGCATTCCTGGGATAGCCGTGAACGTGTCAGACGGTTTTAAGATGTCGTGCTACGGACAAACGGCTGCCTCAGATCTTTGCTGGTGGTTGGCTCTGTCAAAAACTGTTTCACAACCGGACATCAAAATCTTACTACGATCTATGGCAAAAAAGTCTTATTGCCATCATGTTGAAAATGGTCAGAAAAAGCCAACTTTCCAGAATCCTGTCACTTACTGTCACTATCCTTTTTCCTCAATGAGGGGCGTTGGGGCACCTCTTCTTTCTCTGATTAGCACTCAACATTTCAGAAAGAAAGAATATAAAAGTTAAACACACACCTCTACAAGTGGTCTAGCGCCATGCGGTAGTGATTGCACAACTGTGTGGACTGCCATGCAATGCTAATGGTTGTGGGAGGGCTTTAACTTAACAATTTACATTTGTATGATATTGCCAGGTCATCTCTGACGTCCCGGTTAACCTGAGAGTTGATGTTTTTGGCTCGGAGAACACGACTGCGCAGTACCGGCCCGTGGTGTACATGTGTTCCTGTCTGCACGGAGGGAACTGTGACAACAGCAGTGATCCTGATGCTGCATCCGCGGGGGGACAGACAAGGTCAGTCACATCGCTGTTCAATTTTCATTGATTAGAAAATATTCTAAGAAACAAAATTTTACAAACAACGTTGTGTGTTTATAGTTTTACGTGGACATGGTCTTTGTAGAAACGCATTATCCAAATTCAGGTCACGCCTCCAATAATTGTGAAAAATTTCACTTACACAAAGTCCAACACTTATTAATATTCAGTTTTGATTTTTAACTATTCAATTTCAAGTTTGATTTTTATTTTAAATTCTATTAAAATAGCGTTTGAAATAGCATATTGTAATCCACGTAAATATCGCATTTTCCTTACTGTATTACACGTGGTCCGAATGATGTCTTTTCTGTAGATTTGTACAGAGAACCTGCACCTGCGCGCCTGGCTACAGCGGAGACAGGTGTGAGGAGGACGTGGACGCCTGCCTGCTGAACTTCTCCCCGTGCTTCCCCGGCGTCACGTGTGAGGACCTCCCCGCGCCAGCCGGGGACGGACCGGACGGCTTCACCTGCGGGGACTGTCCGGGGGGATACACAGGAGATGGATTCGAATGTCAAGGTAGTAAACTCATTACTCTCTCACTGGGTCGATTTTCCCTCGATGCCAATGATAGCTCTCCATCTCTTCCTATCCTTCATTTCTACCTTCAGGTTTTTCATGTCGAGCTGGGTGTCGTCCATTAATTGGTTAATGTAGTTTCTTGCTGGACGACCTCGACTTCTTCTTCCATGTGAGGGTTCCCACAGTATTAACTGGTGTATGATTTCATCCTTACTACTGTAGCAGTGTCCGATAAACTTCAACCTTCGTTTTCTTATTGTTTCGCTCAGTGTGGGTAGGTCTTTGTATAGTACACCATTTGGTATCTTTTGGTACCAGTGTACATTTTTGACAATCCTAAGCATTTTTGGGTAGGTCCCGGTATTGAAAGGTATTAAAAGAATACATTAATTTGTGCATAACATTGGATTAGAAATGCAACCTCCACAAAGCTACATTTATGTCTTAAACACATCCTCTACTATGAAAATATTTTTTTATATTTTCAGTCCATATCATACGTATGGGTTTACATAATGTTTTTCTTATGTTTCTTCTTTTCATCTCCTTTCTCTTTCTCGACCTATCATTTTTTAATGGATTTGAGTTATGCTGAACACAATACATATAATCATCAATGTACAAAAAGCGTTGCGGTATCGTAAAAAATAACCAGGTGACCATTTGTTAACATGGCTTACATTTCCTCAACAGCTACCCACATAATAAATGAAAACGATCCATCCCCAGATTCTGGAGTTATGACATTGGCCTACATACCCCCACTACAGCTGCTTCGCAAATCTAAAACATTACCCTTCTAACGAAGGCAATGAGAGGCATATACAGGTCATCAGTCGTAAAGGTTAACATCATTTGGCGAAGGTCTGAGATCGTGGAGCTCTAGTTGCAATACGCTTTCTCGTTATTTTCAATATTTTCTTCACTATTTCCCAGATCTTGACGAGTGCGGGACACCAGAAGGAGCCGTGTGCGCCCACAGCTGTGAGAACTACCCCGGTACCTTCATCTGCTCCTGCCGGGACGGGTTCGAACTCGCTGAGGACGGAGTCTCCTGCCAAGGTTTGTGCTTAAAAAACAACCAAGTTTAAGTACAGTACAGTATGGTACAGTACAGTACAGTACAGTACAGGATCTACGATATATGGTCGTAATTACCATCATGTCGGGGATTCCGGGTCCACCCTCCATCTTCATCCAGCCATCACTGTCCATCATGACATCAAAGTCAGGGGAAGGCAAAAGATCCCACTTTTTATTATAATGTATGCGTTTTCGGATGCCAAGAAAATAGTAGTTTTCTTTCTGTCTCTTTTAGTATAAAAAAAATGGGGTAGAATTTAGAGGCTGCGTCGACTTTTGTCGAAGCTGAGTACATTTCGTTCATTGCTATAGATAGTACAATTTATTAGATATAAGATAAAATGTGCTTCATCTCCCACAGTATTCTACGCACCTAACGTTACCTACCTACTATTAAACGCACAGTATTGGCAAATTCGTTTATACACTTGTAAGTCTTAAAAGTCCTAAAAGACCGCTCGCTCTTCAATAGGGTGTGCACTAATTCGGTCTTTGTTTATTGCAGAGTGAAACTTAGGGTCTTAGTCCAGTTATTTTTCCATAGACTATATTGTTTTGCATTTTTTATACAATTAGTTTTCTAGAATCAATAAATATAAGAAAACGTTTGTACACGTGTATTAGAAGGTGTAATAAACACGTGTTTATGTTAACCTTGCAGACATAGATGAGTGTGTCCTGCAGCTGAACAACTGTAGTCAGCAGTGTGAGAACACAGACGGGTACTTCAACTGCACCTGTCAGGACGGGTTCACACTGGCAGATAACGGACTGGACTGTGACCGTGAGTACCTGTTCAAACTTGCTAGAGCTGGCACATCTGCACAGACTTGTAAACACTGTATCCTATATACAGTTTCTACTTGCCACCTTGCAATGTACTCCTACTTCATAAATGGTTTGTTAATTTGGAAAAAATAATCTCCTTCAGGATTTTTTGTAATTACCTACACGAAATTGATTTGATCTGGCCCTACCCCACGTGACCTAACTTTACGTGACGGCCTCTTATGTTTTCAGTTTGGCTACAATAGCCACGTTCTTCGTACGCTCTCTTTTTTTTGAGTAAAAAAATAATTGAAATTCGATGCTCTTACTTGAATGTACTTACTAGTAAAAAGTTTTAACCAAAAGCAAAGTTTCTGAAGAAAGTGAAGCAGCGTCTACCACTGAAGTTAAGTTTAGTTACACAGAAACTTGCCCGTACCCCGGAGTGTCGAAAGATGATAATGCGATATTTATATTGCACTGAGCATGTTTACATGTTACTGTTTTCAGCTGACAGCATGTTTACATGTTACTGTTTACAGCTGGAGCATGTTAACATGTTACTGTTTTCAGCTGAAAGCATGTTGACATGTTACTGTTTTTAGCCGATAGCATGTTAACATGTTACTGTTTTCAGCTGACAGCATGTTTACATGTTACTGTTTACAGCTGGAGCATGTTAACATGTTATTATTCGTAGCTTGCAGCATGTTTACATGTTATTGTTTGTAGCTGACAACATGTTTACATGTTACTGTTTTCAGCTGACAGCATGTTTACATGTTGCTGTTCTCAGCTGACAGCATGTTTACATGTTACTGTTCTTAGCTGAAAGCATGTTTACTTGTTACTGTTCTTAGCTGACAGCATGTTTACTTGTTACTGTTTTCAGCTGACAGCATGTTTATATGTTATTGTTTGCAGCTGACAGCATGTTTACATGTTATTGTTTGTAGCTCTCAGCATGTTTACATGTTATTGTTTTCAGCTGGCAGCATGTTTACATGTTATTGTTTTCAGCTGACAGCATGTTTACATGTTATTGTTTTCAGCTGGCAGCATGTTTACATGTTATTGTTTTCAGCTGACAATCCATGCAGTGCAGGAAGTGACCCTGGATGTGACCCGGAGTTCGGCTGGTGCATCACTAACGGCCTCGGTACTGCAGAGTGCGTCTGTAAGGCTGGGTACGTGCTGTCTGCCGACAACAGGACATGTGAGGGTAAGTGCAAGGTACTCGTGATTTAGGGGGATTGTAACTGTTGTTATTCAATTTGCCAAAGACAGCGTTGAAAAGTATTCCAGTGCCACTGTGAAAGGGGCAACTGGAATTTAGGTGCAGGAAATCCGCGGCCTAAGCAAACCGAATAAGAAATTCGTGTGCTAGCATTTTAAAAGTTCTTGATCAAGTTGTCAGATAAAAAGTAATGTAACAAGAAAATACAATACGTAAATCTTGACGTTGAGGACGTATTTATACGATGTATTGCTGGATTGCCTGTGCCTGCAGACTATGACGAGTGTTCCGAGGGTGATCACCACTGTTCTCAGCTGTGTAACAACACCGCTGGTGGGTACAGCTGCTACTGTGAGGAGGGGTACTACACTGATGAGGACAAGGTCCATATGTGCTTAGGTAAGGTCTAATGTCTCGCAAAAACCCTTTATTTTTGACAAATACTAACTGCTAACATGCGCTACCTCTCCAGTATGGCCTCCAAAGGCCAGTAGTGACAGTAAATAAAATGTAGTTCAGGTCTACCTTACTAATGCAATGACTCGTCCGTGGCTGATGCAAGGCATGACAATGGTAAGAAGTGTAATAATCATACCTTTGTAGACAACTTTAATTTGGCAAGTTTTTTTATACCAATGAATAACACAATACAAGCCACTGTTTAAGCCACCGATACAGTCCGAAACAAGAATTCGGAGATCTCAAACCTCCATGAAATATATGAGTTTTTTAAAATGTTTTTACACGGTACACTACACTACAGCACATAACAAAATAACACAGGTTTTTGTCCTGAAATAGGTCAGGCTGTCAACTCAGCACAAGTAATCTATTCCCAAGGGAGAACATCATCAATCAAACCTTGTAGGCGCGCTGCCTGACCACACGTGTTTTGCGTTAGAGGAAGTTTTTAACCGGCACATCTGTTTTCCCTCAAAATACAAAAGTTCTGCTGCAGTACCAAGGTCAGCGACAAGGAGGCCCATATTTTACTTTGACCTTTGCCTCCCTATTACCTTCCAGCATACCAAATATCATCACAATCCATGAAGGCGTTCTGAAGTTATATATATGCTGACTACAAATGTGCGGAAACACAAACACACACAGACACACACACAGACACGCAAAAAACAATTACTCCATTTTTCATGGAGGTAATAAACACTTTTCTATGCATGTTTCTGAACAGACATTGATGAGTGTTATGAGGTGACAGACAACTGTACAGACCTGGAGACGTGTGAGAACGATCCCGGCTCCTTCCACTGCAGCTGTACGGAGGACGCTGTGTTGGTGGGAGACACATGCGTGCCTGGTAAGCGCTTCTTCATTCAGCCTTGTTGAGAAGTTACATGTATGCGGGATTCTCCTATTGTTTTTAACCACAGAACCTGTGCCAACGATACAGACAGAGACTGCCTTCTAAAATTTATGGTTAGGTAGGCCAGAATGTAAATTCTGCTTGCACATGCAGAACTGTATAATAACTCTAATTGCTTCCATATTTTCTTTGCACCTCCATGCAGTGACTACAACTCCAGCCATGACAACAAAGGCCACAACCGATCAAACTACCACTTCCAGTACAACTAAGGAACAAACCACCGGTCTGCTGCAAACCAGCAGGGCTACTACTACTGTTACTACTACCTCAGCCCCTATGGAAACCACCACAAGAAGCTCGTCTACCATAACTAGTTCGCTGCTTTCTACTACCTCTGGTACTACTAACCCCCCGACCACTAGCACCACTACCACTGCTGTTCCAACTACCGCGTCCAAGCCATCCCCTCTGGCCTCCACTAGCCCAAGCACTACTAATCCTCCAACCACTACTACCACCACCACTTTAACACCATCATCTACTTCCACTACTCTGCCCAAGTCATCCTACAAACCCAGTACAACTACCAGCACTGTACTTCCTACAACTACAACTATAACTACAACTACTACATATGTTTCTTCTCCTACAGCCACTGATGCACAACGTTTCACAACCTCTGCTATACCCGAAACCGCCACTATTACAACTGCCTCTCTAACCACCCCTATATCTACAAACACTATTACGTCTCCACCAGAAACCACCAAAACCATTGCTGCCCAATATCCAACCACTACAACTGTTACTCTATCAACTTCTGCATCTCCAACCACCTCCACCATTACTTCTACTCCTAAAACTACTGCTGCCCAACAACCAACCACTACAACTGTTACTTTATCAACTTCTGCATCTCCAACCACCACTAGAATTACTTCTACTCCTCACACTGCTGAAACTATTGCTGCCCAACATCCAGCCACTACAACTACCACAACCATCACCCCATCGACCACTAAATCTCCAACCACTATTATAACTTCTTCGCCTTATACTACATCTACTTCAACCCCTTTCGTTCCTTCCGAGCAAGTAGAATCTACTACTAGTTCTCAGTCTGAAACTGCTAGTACCCAACCTTCCGCTACCATGTCCACCCAGCGTCTCAATGTACCAACCAGGGGTGCAACCGCAGCGTTGCCGCTGACAGAGGATCAAAATGCTCTGAGGCCGCATGAACAGAACACTGTGGTTCTAACAATTACAATGACAATTGAAGAGGTAAAAGAACATGATGCCCTTTTTAAAATTTCTTTCGTGCTCTTTGGTGCTTTTTAAAAAATAAATAGTTTGGGACACAAACATTTCCCTATCTGAATACTAAACACACGCGTACCTCCTATCCTCTACCGATAGTTTACTGCTGACGTCAGGATGAACTTCAAGCGCAGGGTTTCTGAGATCATGACGTCTCACTGCCAGAGGATGGTGAGGGAAGAGCGGGACTGCCAAAGGAGTGATGGTGACAGGAAACGACGCTCGTAAGTTCTGCGACTTTTTACCTTTTAAAAATATTCTAAGGCAATCTTTTTGATATTGACACATACTGCCTCACATTAGCACATTTGAGTCAGTATTTCATACTTTGGCCTTTTAAAAGTGCTGAAACAAGCCCCAAGATGAGTCCTTTATTTTCTAAAAAAAAAGAACAGCCTAGGGCCCTTCCAGTAACTATTTTCCATCAGAATGTTGGGAATTTTGCTCCATGAGGGTCAATGTACATTGGGATAGTGTGGTTTCAACTCATATGAGTTGAAACAAGATAAATGACAAGAATATTGGCTTTGAAAAATCCTGTTTCCAAGCCCTAAAAACTGCACTGGATGTCTTTAACATCTCAAGCCAATTTTTAACTAATATGCAAGCTTTGTTTCCCTTAGACTAAGTGCAGTCGTCTTCACCGCTGCCGACGTGTACATCCCCCCTGGTTACCCCCGGCAGTCCGCTACCAGAGACGGCATCCTGCTCGCCTTCTTCATCATCCGCCCGGACTCTGCCGACGACTTCCTGCCTTTTCCAGTCGACTCCATCATGATGACACTTAGGAACAACCAGCTCCAGCTACAACAGGCTCTGGGCTCCAAACCGATCACAGACATGGTGCCTTACGAACAGTACCTTTATGGTGTAACTGTTCCAGCCACTGCAGGCACAACGTGAGTCTTCACTGTCCAAACAAAAATTCACCACATCTATGGAGTCACTTTATGCATTTTAAACGATATTGGATTCGGATAGTGGGTCAAATGTAGAAAATGATCTGAAGCCTGGTCCGTGATTATCCAGAAATAGTTGAAATGGCTCTGATGTATATTGCTCCTTTTACTCCAATTGTTTAAATTATCTACAGTTCTGTCTAAAAAAGGTTTCCTAGCGACATGGTTTGTTTACAAAAGGTTCAGTTTAGGCGTCTACAATCAAGTCAAACTGTAAAACTGCTGTGTTTTAATGTTTAAAGTTTTTCTGCTCAACATATCATCTATTCATTGTTATCATAATATGAAACAGGCCTGTTCAAGGAAAGCCGCCAGGAAAGCCAGAAGAGGACTCCGAGTTCCCGCTGGTTGCAGTGAGCGTGGCTGCTGCTGTGTTGGCAGTGGTTGCTCTGGTCATCGCAGTCGCTGTCTGGTAAGTCTTTTTTTTTACTTTAACATGCAATAATACAATGCATAATGGTTACGCACTTAAGCAACATGCTAATATTCAGGTCACCACTAGACATAAAAGAAAAATTACATCACAAAACATGGGTATCGTCCAGGTAACAAGAGAACAGAGTTTACCTATTGAGATATTATAGATAAATGCAGAAGTATAAATCAGTTTTTAAATCGCTTAGTTTCAGAGAGAAGCAGCTGTGTAATAATGCGTATTTTAAAGTTGGCTTTAGATGAATTTCAAAAGTAAAGGTGATCCATTAAGTAGCAGATACACAATAGCACTATCTGATAGGTTGTTAATATCTAAGAATATCATGGCTTATAAAGGTACACTTTGGCTGTTATGGGATTACTAAATCCAATTTAGCTTTTGAATGTACACATTGAATGCTTGTTGCTATAGACGCCATTGAGTTTAGATTTAGGCAATTAGAAACTAGTTTCTCAACAATCAGCATTTTTTAACTTGTGTAGCAAGCCATATTATTATTACATGTATCCATCCCTTTATCAAGAATTTTAATCACCTTTGATCCAACTGAGACGCAATGCTCCCACGTAAATACTTGGTACATGTACTTGTGTATCACATTGTAGGCAAATGGAACAACATTGTACATTCTGCTAAACATGACTCTCTCCCGCCCATTTCATCTGTAGTCCGACGACGTAGACTCGCCCTGGTAGGGCATGTTGTTCGTAGTAACGAACCAGCTGGTAGACTAGTACCGTGGCTTCCTACTGGGAGACGTAGAGTGGGACGTCCTAATATTACACTTTTGTCCATGTTAGAGAGAGACACTGGTCTCGCAGGGACTGCATTAGTGTCCGCTATGAGAGATAGGACATACTGGAGTAACTTTATCAAGTGTGCCTCACCGGATTAGTATAAACTAACCCGGAGACATGATGATGACGATGAAACATGAACCTTTTCACATTGAAACATTAGCCTAATGATAGAACTACGACACAAATGTATATATGACCTGTGGTGCACTCACTAAGATATGTTGCCTTTCTCACCTCCCTGTAGTCAGAAGAAGAGCCACGCCACTGCCTACCGTGTCCAGGACACGCCCCCTTGCAGCCAGACCCCGGTACTGCAACCTCACTTTGACGAATCCGTGAGGAGCTTCAATCCACGTAAAGAAGTCTGGGGAACCGACAATCCAGCCATCATCATGGACAGCAAAGTCTGAGGGATCGTATAAAAAATACATACCATACGTCTGAAGTAAAATAGACGTAGCCATAGTTGCATTGTCTACAACGAATTCCACAATATTGTAGTGTATACGCACTGCTATATTCTATTTTTACTCTTACCCAGAGGTCCTAGTTGATAAGTGTTTTTCAACTTTTATCTAGCTTGATAAAATCGTCCGAAGGAACCTTTTTAAGTCTTGTTTACAATACAGCATTCAGCATTGTTACAGGTGTAACAATAGGTCATAGTACCATATACAAATTTAGAGACGGTTTTGATTGCAGATAGGCGTCAATGACAATCTTTGTTCCATAAAGCATTCTTTCTAATCTTTAGTAGTTCGTAACAATATGTTTTAAATGCTGCAACTGAGGGTGTACAAATACATGTTATAAATACCAGCACAAGTTCTGATTTGATTTTATTAGTTTGCACATATTAAGTTTATTATCACTGAACAACTGATTGTACATTGATCAAAGTGGCTCAGTGTTTTGTGACATGGTTTTAGTAGAGTGTGAGTTTTGTTACAAAATATTTTTGCCCGCTGTTTTACAAGAGGAGCTTTCATGTCTCAAAATATCATTGGCATTCATGGAATCAGTTATCTCAAGACTAGACTACCAATTTAAAATAGCATGAATTGTTCTTTTTTTATACAACCCAGATTGAAAAGATTGTATTTTAAACTGTACAATTATACTGCATCTTGGTACAAGTCGGATATATCAAAATATGGCATATTTGTGACGACTGAATCGATATCTTGAATCATTTTCTGTATAAAATCTCTCTGAAAAAAGTTGTTTCGTATTATGCAAACATAATGCTTACCTATAAAAATCGGGTACATTGAGTTGATGTATACTTAACAAATGTTATATTATCAATAAGATTACTGTAATTATGTAATCATATCTGGTAATTAAAATTTAGTTTGCAGCGTTTGCGTTTCACTTTCAAAATGGCTGACAATACTTACGCCACATACAGTCACATAAGTGCAAACTCCTAAGAACTCTTGCACATTGTAATGGGTAGCAAGGACATAAATAAACCACATGATTGTGCAACCGGTACCTTTCATTGTCTCTGTACTGACCTCTATCGAAACATAATTTATAGGCTATCCTCTGACCTCCAAGTTAGATCCCCTTTCCCATAGACGAAATGTTGCCTCTCTATCCCTCGTTTACAGATATTTTCACGGTCCTTGCTCTGCAGAAGTCACCCAAGTAGTTCTACCACTCAGAACTTTTAGGCGTTCCACTAGGTTCCCCACTAGCTCACACGACTTGACCGTCGAAATTCCTTGTTCGAAATCTTTTTACAGTGACAGTTTCTTTCCCCGTACGGCCAAACTTTGGAATTCCCTCCCTGAAAAGTGTTTCCCACCAACCTACAATCTTCAGGCTTTTAACCCTACCTAGACCGGGCTTTTTTTGACATGGGGGGGCGGGGGGGGGGGCTATTTGACCCCCCTAAGAACTCGCGAACGGTATGTCGTATGACCACTAAATTTTCAGAGAATGGTGTACTAGTGAAAATTTATCATATCTACAATTTTTATGTCGTTATGATGTAATATGACGTCATTATGACGCCATTAATGTGATTTTATTGGCCAAAACCGTCTAAATAGGTTTTTCCCTGAAAACTAAATGGTATTCAACATAACTGTACCAAAAGTGTTTATGACAGAATATTATGGTGTACTAAGTCTTATGTTGCCCATAGCAACACCGGTGACGTCATAAAATGACGTCATGCATATTTAAGATATCCGCCATCTTGGATCATCAATCTTGAATTTTCAAAAATAGTTTTTTTTCATGATAAAGCCTAAAATACATTGTAAACATACTAAAGACCTTCATTTAAACCTTTTTTGGAAAAAGAAATGGAAGTATTGATGAAATTTTAATGAAAATAACCTGTATATACCTGTTCTAATGATATGGTCCGCCATCTTGGATTTTGGCCAATGACGTCATCAAATTAGCATAAATTATGCATATTTAATGATAAAATTTACATAAAATTATATGGGATGTTATTAATATTAGAAACCATGAGTAACTTGACATAAAACCCATAAAATTCTATTGTTGAAACAAAAAGTACTAAATTTAGCAAAAAATGCCTGTCAGAAACCCGTTGCCATGGCAACAGAATTTTTTTTAATCTTATTCCATTGTGGAGAATTGTTGCCAACAATATTCTAGGAAAAGTCACCAAGCTTGGCCGTTCTACGGCTAGCCGTTCAGACGCTAGGTGACATCAAAGTTGCCGCGGGCACTTTTAGCCCCCCCCCGGTCTAGGTAGGGTTAAATCAAACGTTCACCGCCATCTCTTGACAAAACCATGTTTCTCTCATATTTCTAGTTCAATGCCGAGAAGTGGTCGTCACGGCCGTGCATTGAACTACTCCGTTAAAAAAAAGTACTGTGATTGCGTGCACGTAACGCAGGTGAGGGTTTATAACGCAATGTGATTTCAATGTAACTTCGCCTGGTCATGGATTACGGGGTAATATTTCTTTATTTATATGCAATACCAACTTTTACGTGGCAGCAACTTAAAGAGCAGTAATGGTTAAATAATGTGTCCGTTCTAGGGCGAGCTTCACCGCCTCTGGCGGGACCACGTCGGCATTCGGCCGAGATACGCTGGGAGGGGGGCACCAGCAAGCAGGTCGTTGACCCCTGACATTAATAACACGCTACCTTGCGTGTTTTCATCAAACAACAATAAATGTAGCTCAAGCGAATTGTGATCGGACACGGTTTCACAGGAATGTGTGGCACGTGCACCAGATGTGAGGAATGTGAGTTACCCGAATGGCGGTTTGGGTGAATTCACATAAACACGGCCTTAGTATCACTTAGTCATCAAGACAAATCTTGTTTCTCAGGTCCTTGGCAAAACGTAAGTATACTACGAATTCAGTAACCAATGACGACCGCAGACCCCGGTTATTCATACACTCGTGACCATGTCTGCATTAACGTGTCGTTTTAAAAGAACGCACAAACACAAGGAGAAGTTTTGTAATTTCTTTATTGTTTAAGGCATAGTCACACCATTAGAATGAAAAACAAAGCAGACTGTCCATTCGCCTGCCAAGCCACACGAACCATAGGAAAATCCTACATATCTGACTATGCACGGTCACTCATGAACTGTTGATAAGACGAAAGGCTTATCACTTATGTAATGTACACTTAACCAGCGCTTGAAATGGTTAAATATGTGGTTTAATGGTTAAATGATTAAAATATGTGTAATTTAGCCTGTAATTCGGCCAATATGCCGTGAGAGAGTTTCTCAGTCTGAATAATCCATTCATTCATGCATTCATTCATTCAATTCATTCATTCAATAAACCACTTATTCATTCAGTTTCTCAGAATTGCCCTGAGGAAGGTGACAGACAGTCACCGAAACGTTGGCTGAATAAAAGACTTGGTTCTGTAAAAACAGTCTCTTCACTCAGTGTCTTACCAACCTGATGAAACTATTTAAGGTTGGACGTTGTGGCTACTGTTGTATATTAATCATCATAACAGTCATTCTGGTTTGCTTCTCTCTGCCTGGCACCTGACAAGATGTCTTCCAGCAAAGATTCGAAGCTGTCTCCTTCCTTTTTCATCTGAAGCTTTTCCTCAAAGTCCGTCTCCCTTAGGTAGCTGAGGAATTCCTCCTGCTGTTCCAGACTGAGAGAGAGGGAGACGGAGAGGAAGGGAGAGGGAGAGGAAGGGAGAGGAAGAGGAAGAGGAAGGGAGAGGGAGAGGGAGAGGGA